GTGTTAAACTAAACATCTTTTTCCCTCGGAAGTGTGTTGCTCAAGCAATAACATATGCACGTGCTGCAACTCAGGATATTTAAGCCCTTGAACACTCGAATTCAGGGCTTCTTTCGATATACCGAACCAGGGCGAATATATTTCGACCCCACCCACCTCCCCTTCGGCGACGTATTACATCAGCACATATTGATCGGTGCAAACGATCTTCATCGCAGTCCGTTCTTAGCGTAGGGCTTCTCGATTTCTCCCATATCTTAACCACGCCTATCTATGAGCGGTTGCATAGCACTCTTTAGACAATAATTTGACGTCTTGATTTTATCAGATGAAGCCAGGGGCAAGAACACATCTGTTATCTTCACTGTCAACCGTAACGATGGAACTTTTGGTAGTACAGATGTATCGTGGGAAGTGTTGAGTGTCAATCCAACTCCTGGTTTAGATATCCACCCTTCACAAGGCGTGATCAACTTCAACGAGGGAGACAAAACCAAACCGCTTGAGATTTTTGTGCTCAATGACGTGGTAAGTCGCTATGTCTCATCGGAAAGAGGATAGCATTTGAAAAAACTAAAACACTTCTGACATTCTTCCCACTCGGTTAGGTAAAAGAAGTAAAAAAGACTGATATTTTAGTATTCTTGTTGACCCCAATTCTCAGAGATATGTTTCTTCCATATTCGTCATGTTTTGAACGAGGAGAGAACTGGGTAACATAGACATTTCATAATATATGAGAGCACGTCAGAATGAGAATGTTTTTTKCTGTATTCCAATTTTCAGATCCCAGAAGGAAAYGAAACCTTTATCATCAGACTCAAAACCATAACTGGCAAAGCTCGATTTGGCTCTCAACTCAACGCCACTCTCATCATTAACAASAAYGACGAYCCAGTTTTYTTCGACTCGCCCACACTCGTCAACGTCACTGAAGGCCAGGTCGCTAACCTCACRATAAGTCGCGGCGGCGATAGACTGGACTCTATAACAGTGACGTATAAAACTTTCGACGGTACTGCGATGACGTCAGACTCGGATTACGTTGCAGTTGATGGGAAGGTTGTGTTTGGTGTAGGAGAGAAGACAAAGAGGATATCGATAGTGACTCGCGACGACAACAAACCAGAGGGACTGGAGTACTTTACTGTCAAGCTTATGAACTCTAGTGGTGACACTGTCATTCAAAATGACGTTGCTAGGGTTACTATATATGCGAGTGACACTGGGACGGGAGTGTTCCAGTTTGTTGAAAGTTACGTCAATAACACAGTATCTGAGTCGGGATCCGTTAGTTTTGAGTAAGTATACGTAAGACAACAGGTTCGTTATACAAACGTTAAGCGTAGTAATTCTTCATATCAAACAAAGCCTCAGCCAATAATTGTTTGTATCATACTCAGTTTCAAGCAATAATTCTTCATATCATACTCAACCTCAACCAATAATTCTTCATATCATACTAAGTCTCAACCAATAATTCTTCATATCATACTAAGCCTCAACCAATAATTCTTCATATCATACTAATCCTCAACCAATAATTCTTCATATCACACTCAGTTTCATCCAATAATTCTTATATTATGCTCAGCCTCCACTAATGATTTTTCATATCATACTCAGGCTCAACCAATAACTCTTATATTATTCTCAACCTCAACCAATAATTCTTCATAACATATGACTATTAAACATTGCATACTTGGTATATGAAAATTTGGACGCTAGTTATAATTAATGACATTGATCGAGCGCAAATCCTTGTCCACATGTTAATTACTTGATTGCTATTTGATTTTTAGAGTATCACGATTAATTGCTCAACACGGTAAAGTTCATTTACATTACCAAATCCTTCAAGTACTATCCAATGGCAGTCTCAGTTCCCTTCCACAAGGAGTCGATTTCAATCCTCCATCAGGATTCATCGAGTTCAAAGATGGACAACAAAAAGGGACGATTACAATTAACCCTTTTGACGACAAACTAGCTGAGATGAATGAAACTTTTGCAGTGCAAATTGTCAACGCCACAGGTATTCCCAGTTCGCTTTCTAGGGCAATCAAGCAATTATTTTTGATCTCTTCGACTGTTGTAGCTATGTTGTAAAGAAGACATCCATGGTTATAGGCAAAAGTTGTGCAGCCTAATACAAAAATAAAAGAATAAAATAATCATTGATGTATAATACGTTAACCCAATATATTTGAAAGGAAAGTTTCGAAGAGAAAGAAAATTTAGTTGAAGATTGCAATCGTTTTGAAGTTGACTCATTATTCATCTTAGGACCTGTCGAAGTCGAAGAAGTCGATCTTTTTTCGCGTCTAATATGTTATTACTGGAGTTAAGTTTATAGAGTTCAATGCTCTGAATTTATTGAAATTGGTAGAGTTGATTAAGTTAGTTGAGCTCAATATAATCCACAAATATCCATTAATTTAGACTTTAAGTTTATCGTAGATTACATTCAAGCAATAATTGCTTGAATTGATTAGACCCAGAAAAAGATCGACGTCTGAACAGGACCTTACTAAAAAGCAAAAYTCAACTCTCTATGAATATTGTACAGGTATTGGYACGGGAGAAAATGGTCGTCTTGGTAACATAACAGTACAGTACTTCACAGTTTTACCAAACGACGATCCTTATGGAGTGTTTCGTTTYGATGACTCTTCGATTGATATCCAGATWCCTGAAGACTATCTTCCTGGTAAAGTCAACACCACAGAGAAGGAAATTATTGTAGTCAGAGATCAGGGACTTTGGGGAACTACTCAGGTAGGTTTGTGTTATCTTACATGTATTTACTCATTAAGGACGAAGATAATTATTGATGAACGAAGAAGGAAATGCAATCTACTTGCGGACCCTCTCGTAAGCGGACAGCTGTTATGTACAGCTTTCCAAAGCCCCGGGTTTTTTCATTCCATACAAACACTGCATTCACACTTTCTTATAGACGTACAGCTCTACCAACCGCGATATTTTTTCACTTTCCCAAAGGTATCCGCTTACGAGAGAYTCAATTGTAATGCAATAAAAGGAAATATCAAGGAAAACATCAAAAATATTAAATAAAAATGTTTCACTTGCTTATCAGGTTCTGTGGGAAATCTCCTCGGCAGACAACAACATCAAACAAGAAGAGCARTTCGATCTGTTGTTCTTGAGTGATTTTGGATCCGGTGTCGTCAATGAACCCAGCAAAAGACGGAAGAGCACTGGGACTAATGTGTCATGCTTTAGTAGCGCTCGGTCAGGTAAAGAAAAAGACAAGTGATTGGTTGGTTGGTGAGTTGGTCGATTACTTTGATGCCGGTTGGTTGATTTGTTTTTTGGAAAGTTGATTGGTTAGTAATGACCACCAATTGATTGGCTATATGACTGATTGATCGATTGATTGTCATACTAACTGATTGTGTATTTGATTGGTAGATTGGTGACTTGATTGATTTTTGAACTGACTACTTAATTGAAATATTGATGTATTGATTGATGTATTGATGTTTGATATATTGATGTATTGATGTTTGATGTATTGATTGATGCGTTGATTGATGTATTGATTGATTGATTGATTGATTGATTGATTGATTGATTGATTGATTGATTGGTTAGTTGGTCGGTTGATTGGTTGGTTGGATGGTTGGTTGGTTGCTTGAGTAAATGATTGATTGATTGATTGATAGATTGGCCGATTGATTGATTGGTTGGCAGATTGATTAATTGACAATTGATTAATGATTGATTGACAGGTTCATATGCAACTGTTTCATTATTTGGAGGGCAAACATTGGATGAGTTCAGTATGAGGTACAGTAAGATCTAAAAACCATCAACCATATTGAAATACGACTTACTAAATCCTTTGTAAATTCAATCATTCAGTGCTTGGCTGCAACCGGACAAGCAATCTCTTGGTTATCTTCTTTCYTATGGTTTAAATGGTGTAGTGGAACTTGAGATCGCTATCAATACAACTGGATCGACTTCATCTGTATTCCTTTCGCTTTTTGATGGTAATGTAACTGTCGACCTCGGAAGGGACATCTCGGATGGMAACTGGCATGAAATCGTCCTCAATATGAAACTAGCTAACAAGGAGGTGATATTCTATATCGATGGAACAAAAACCAGAACGTGGTATGTTAGTGTTTATAATTTGAGTATTCTTTGATGATTTTCAAAGATTATCATTTTTACTCTGATTTGAATTTCGTCTTTTTTTCCATTCTCTTAGCTATTTTGTTGTTTTAAATACATTGTTGTTTTCATTTCTCTTTTTGTTTCTTGATTTCCCCTCTTTCAGTTTTCTTTCCTGCGTTTCGTTTTACTATTCCTCGCTTTTTTGCAAAACCTAAAACGCGTCCTTCAAAGTATTATATATAATTTCCCTCGAAACGACTCACATAAAAAGTTAGTTTTCACATTATTATTGCAGTTAAAAATTGAAAAATAAATTATACCACGTAAAGAGTTAGAAAATTGAGTAATCATATTTTATTTTAACGTTATTAGGAGCTCATTTTCCGGACGATCCCTTACCGGAGGCGGTGTTTTCACTGTTGGTAGCTCTGATTCAAGCAAGTCRAGCTACAMAGGATGYGTCCAGGAYATTAGAGTCTACAAGGCGATTCTTGAAGACAGGTATAGAAAAGAATTAATCCATCATGTACGCATTGTGACCACCAGAGAACAAGTGTGAAGACGATTGTGATAATGATGATGATGATGATTGAGATTGTGATTATGATTATAGTAAAGATCGATGTTATCTCAATGCTATTATCATAATGCCTTCAATTCTAACACGCGCGCTGATTGGCGGATTTTATGAGAAAAAGCTATGTATAGTTTCGCCGGTAAACCAGCCTGCTGTCTTGAAAGACTTTTGAGTCTAAATGGCGGACGCGCGCTATAATATAAAAGCAATAAACGATAGCTTGAAGGGGTTTACTGACGAAATAAACCGCTTGGGATGGTTAGTAGAACACTCGAAAGGTTATATGATCTTTTTTCGTGTTCTCCTAACCATCCCGCGCGGTTTATTTCGCCAGTAAACCCCTTAAAGCTATCGTTTATTGCTTTTAAAAATAAGCTTGTGAATATATCAAATTGAAATCTTTGATTCGTCGCAAAACTCCAGATAATGCTTGCATAACCTTTTTTCAACTATTAATAATCTGCTTGTTTTAGTGAGAAAAGAACAAAAATTACATAACATTACCCGTGATGCACCCGATATAATGATATATGTTTGTAATTTTTGCAAATCATTGTACAGGCTCGAATGTTTTTTTTATTATTTCAGTAAAGTGMAAGAGATGTTTGTCACAATTCTCGACTTGACCCCCATTAATGGGTATCTGACATTTCCAAATAATGTCGAAAAACAAGGTATTGTGATCAAATCCGTCGACGACTTAAAACCTGAAGATCAAGAGAAATTCAGGATGGGTTTGATTACTGCTAAAGGAGGTGCTCGTTTGGATGAGAACAAAGCTTCTACGACGCTAACAGGTACGTTAAAATCGCAAAAAAAAAGATAAAAAAATATTGCGCTGTACATACTTTTAGAATAAAATGATTTATCACTAGATTCGCCTATGGTAAACATCTTCGTCGTTTGATTTTTACCTGACTTGGACGTCATACTATGCTTAGCCTCAACCAATAATTTTTCGTATCGTAGTAACCTTAACCTGTAATTATTCATATCATACTAAGCCGCGACCGGTAATTCTTCATATCATTCTCAACTTCAACCAATAATTTTTTAAGTCATGCGCAGTCTTTATCAATGAAAATGTGTTGATTATAATCGGAAATATGATAATAATGATTGTAATACTGATAAAATCATTGTTCTCTTTACTTTCCGTAGTTCTCAAGAGTGACAATGCTAATGGCTTGTTTGGCTTCGAGTCCAGTAATCCCATATCCATGACAGAGACAAGCAATAGGAGYCTTACCATAGAGAGAAAGAAAGGCACATCTGGTCAAGTCAATGTTAAGTGGAGTATCTATAAATACTCTCCTAGTGGTTTGCAGTTAGCGTCTGMSGATTTCACGAAATCTCAAGGAACTGTTGTATTCAGCGATGGCGATTCACAGGAAATATTTTATATTAAACCAAAAGACGATCAACTCCCAGAGCTGGACGAACAATTTGTTCTCAARCTAGACTCAGCGACTTCAAAAGACGGGAAAAAGAACAGCACGCCAACAAGTGGAGCCAGTATTGAACCSAAYTTCACAGAGATMAACATTACTGTTGTGAAGAATGACTATCCTTACGGTTTATTCCAGTTTATGGACGCTGTGCCTCMTGGGAAYGCCACCATTCCCCCTGCTGTGGAAGCATATCATAAAGATGTCCGAGAAAGCTCGGGTACTTTTGATCTTGTTGTAGGTCGTGCACAGGGAACTGAAGGTATTGCTTGATTGACACTTATTTCATTC